GCATTTAATTTTTGTTAACCTCACACAGAACTTCTATAATTATTCTCCTTAAAGAAGAATGTAACACATATTTCAACACGTATGTCATACAGAGAGTTATGAAGATTCTCTGAACCACTCATTATATCGTAAAACATTATGTTACGATATGTAGTATTGTAAGCTTTGCTACAATGTGTCTGTAACGCAATTAACAGATTCGTATCAGAAATGAACATCAAATACAGTGAGGCAAGCAAACTGTTAGGAAATTTGATACTAGGAAGTCTTACTAACATATGTCGACAAGTTCCAATTTTGATCAAATTTGTAAATCAATATGGAGGCATTTTGCATGAAGCCCTTCAATGAGTGTTTGCGCTCCGAAGGTAACTAAATGAATTCCGCATTTGGGTAGAATGGCGTATGACAAATAAACCAAAACGTAACCGAGTACGAGGCAGAGATGGACTGAGCACGTGAAGACAGAACAGGCTTCAGTACCTATACCAGCAACCGAAGAATAAAAATGTAGGGTCTACTCGTATTTTAAATAACAATTTTTTAATAAACTACGTCATATTTTTTGTCTAATCAAACCGAGAAATATGCACTATCACACAACGCAAGTATTAAGTATGTACAGAAGCGTGTCTTTCCTTTACACTGCACGTAACAAGGAACGTTGCCATAGCTACAAAATTCCCCCCCCCCCCCCCTACATAAACGGACTCATCAACAGAGCATTTATTAAAATGATCTGATGGGATTGCGGGGGATTATTAATGGTTTGCATTCTGTTTGAAGTTCAAACACATGTCGAGTGCTGTGATAAAATAATAAGTTGATAGACGAATTGAAGCATGCCACTGAAATTACATACCGATTTTGGAGATTATGAACTTGCGTATGGTACTGTCCTGTCCCTATAAACCTAGCCCTTTCCGCTCGATTGGCACATTCATCGCCCTGATGACGAAGGCAGTATGAACTCTAAAACGTTCGTGGAAATCTACCAGGCTACATGGCGCAATAACCCAGAAGACAGCAATCTTAATTAAAGTTTAAGTCTCGTTTTTGGAGAACATGTGACTTGCTATCACCTACGATTCAAAATTACGAAAACTAAAAGCTAATTCACTCCATAGAGCAGGTCCCTTCTTGAACAACTAACAGTCGCTCGGTTTGTCAAAGTTCCACACCACTTATGAATTCTAATCTCCATTATCACCAAAGCCCACCATTGAACTATGTTCTGAAACACACAATTTCAATACAGTTATTCACATTCTATTTCTTTAAGATCCATCTTAATATTATCTATACTTACATAAGACCAGGTCTCCCAAGTTTAATCTTCCTTTCATATTTTCTGGCTAAATTTGTTTGTAGAATTTTCCTCACCCCAGACGTACTACACGCACAGTCCATCTCATACATGATTAGGGCAAAGTTACAAATTACTACGTAACTTTTATGGGATAAATAAACCATTTACACTTTAAATTTATGAGTTATATTATAGGGCTTTTGAATTTTGACTCTATGAAAGCTAGAATTATGACATGATTATGTTCGCGTGTGATTGTCCATCGTTGAAAGTCCCATAATGAGTTTCAGCGATGTGGATTAATATTCGTGAAACGTCGCATGGAGATATTTCCAGTGGGGGCCACATGAAACCTAGGACTGGTACGCCAAATTTCTTTTTTACGTTTAGAGCACCAAAATGCGATTTTATGTTAGACCCTAAAACTCTTATAATCATTGATAATAAAAAAATATGTAGGCTCAAACACCTATATCCAGGATACTACACTAAAACATTCTTTGGTATGTTGTGAGAGAAACGACATTTAAGTGTAACGCCACGTAGAGAAATTAAAATTGCTTATTACAGAATTAAGTTAGTCCAACCAACTTCAGTACATTAAAAGGCTACTTTCTCACTCCGGAAGCCACTTACGCATTACATTATAAGAATAAAGGAGATGTTAAAACACTCAGCATTTTTACCTTAATTTTCTTGTGTATTAAACTATTTAAATTGACTTATATGTAAATGTCTCCGGAATGGAAAATAAATAACAAGTTCCGGTTCCAAATATCTGACAACTCTTTGAAGTTCTATTAGACTTTCTCTTTATTATTAGGAAGAGGCAAAATGCCAATTTACATGGATTATATTTCACTTCAAGCAGCTAACTTATTATTCACGTTTCCCTTGTTTTATTCATAACATTCTTCAAATATGATCTAAATTTAAACGTAAGGAAATGAAGGAACAAAAGTTATTCTTTATACAGAACGTCAACATTAATATGGAATTCGTCCATATATCAGCTAAGAAAACAAAGAAGTGCTTTCTTGTCGAATAATTACAGCCTTAAATAACTAGAAATATCTCGAAAAGCAGTAACTACAGACCCATTTCTCACAGTCCAAACTTGGTCCCTGGACTTCAGAACATCATCTTGAGATAATTTCGCGAGCACAATGCTTCATGGTACAAATTAATTGCCCACCCAATTTTCGCTAGTCAGCCAATCAAGAAAATGCCTGATCTTATGGAACCCAAAATTTCTTTACCGTGTTCGCAAAAGCACGTAATTAAACTCCATCTGTGTCGGACACAGCCCGACATTCGGGGGAAAAAAAACATGTTACAGTTCCCCAACATCTAACTGGATCTGGCAGTTTGAAATTCAAAGGAAACTCGCTGATTCTGGCGGTGTGTTGCATGTAAATGGAACTGAAGGGGCAAAATCTCAAACCTTGGCTCGCGTGCGACACCAGGTCTTATCACTTCTACCATTACTCTGTGTGTTACCTGGACTCCGAAACTTGACATCGACACGGAAGGTATTTTAACCTTTTTGAAAGCATACAGCTACAAATCGAATAAACATTTATTCTTTAATGAATTAAACACATATGAAAGAAAAAACAGGTAGGCTTGCAGTGAATGCCCCACGTATACCGTCGCCAACTTAAGTACATGTTAAGTGCTGTAAAAGACACAATAGGGTTTAATTTCCGGATAAAGAGATGAGGGCGTCTTTGTTACACGTGCTAGCATAATTTTCCTTAAAACACGCAATTTTTTGGTACTGGTAAATTCAGTTCTTATTGTCTGCTAGCCAAATACAGTGTGAACAATTTCTGAAGACATTGCTAATTTAGTATAAGAAATGATAAATTAACAGACTGACTCGCAAAAATATCAGATCACTGGCTACAAAATGTGTAAGCGTTAAACGTAAACGACGGTATCCTACTTAGAGGTACTATCTTAGTATCGGCACAAAGAAACAGAGGATAACTACAAGAAGTATAGACGGTAACTAGGGAAAATGCAAACTGGATAGCTCACAGATGACGGTCAAGAACGTTACTAAACTACTAGGTTTGTCTCTTTATTACACAGAAGGACCTTCGGTAGGTCTACCAACAAAAGAACTACTTGGAACGGAGGCCATCTTCAGAAGCTGGTAGTCGTTCAGGTAGTTAAGAAATTCTGCGCCTTTAATGGAACCCGAAATTTCATTACGATTTTCACAATTGGTCCTTAACCTAAGTCAGACGATTCCAATGCTCAACCGCAAAACCTACTTCCATTAGATTTATTTTAATATTATCCTCCCGCCCATGCCCAGTTCCTTCAAGCGGTTATCTTCCCTTCAGACTTTCCAACCAAAACTTTGTGTGCATTTCTCATTTCTCCCGCGCTCTCACTCATTTAAAAAAGGAACCCGTGTTGATATGTTGGGGGATTTAGACTATAGGAATCAAATGCCAACAAATTATGAAACTTTCTTTTGCGTTAACGCAGCTCACTCTAAACTAATTACCATCTTATAAATTATAGCAACGAATTGTAATAATTTACCCAGAATTTGCATTTTAATGAACCCTATTTCTGCATCTGATTATTCATGTGATGAAAAACGCTACTGGAATTCCGCTATAAACCGCTTAAAGGGAGCCACTGATAGTTTTTCCATCTCTAAGCAATTTGCATTCTCCCATGTGCCAGTTTTTAAGTCTAAGTGTGAAGCATGCTGCTGAAAACGGATAAAAGTTTGTGGAAGCGATTAATATGCCGAGGCCTAATTACTTCATAATTAGCTATTCACAATTTCAAATAGCATTCATAAAGTCAGTTATCCTCCAATACAAAACATCCGCCTGATGAAACTTTCATATTTTTATTCATAAGCGTCGAGAAATTTTAATTAATGTACGACCATAAATTATGCTAGCAGTTAGTATCAAACAGCAGGTGTTTCTTGGCCTAAAACACCCTGTCAACACAGCTTTTGCTTGAATGTTTCTCAGTCTGCTGCTAGAGTGAGTACCTTGGTCATTATAGTGAACAGAAACAAGTGGATAATTTCTGGATAAAGATTGAAATTGCATGTTCTCTACAAACTGGTATCCAATTATACCGTGGTTCTTCCCCTGAGGTTAAGGTTGCTGGATCATTAAGCTCACAATTCGCCCCATATAGTACTGATGTAATAATGGGTGGGGCATTATGACT